TATTACAAAAATGAATGGATTGTAAGTACAGGTATTCTCCAACTTGGCCTCCCAAGAAATTCTCCTGTTTCAGAATACAAAGCCACGTGTGACCCTCCAGCACCGGGCAGAGCTGTTTTGTGCACCTGCCTAAAGCTCCCTCTCTGGTTGGTGAGCAGACTTTACTGGTGATGCCAAGATTGGCAATCTGTGAGGCCCTAGTCACTCCACGACGTTAAAAGAGGATGAAGGTAGCGGGTACCTATCTGTAAGGTGCAACACTAGACTGTCTAAGAAAGCCTGGCAACCCAGAGACAGATTGGGGTTCATAGCAGCCTTGGTATGGAGGAGGAATGAGGGATGCCATACAGATGTTAAATAGCAAATATGCAGACCTCTGCTCCACAGCAGAGGCAAACGAGCACAAGAATGGAGACCGTAGCAGAGATATTATTTAGACTATCATTCAGCGTCTGTCTCTTGGCAAGTCATTTAATTTCTTTGCATCTCAATTCCTACTCATTTCATATAGTTACTCTAAAAAGCATTGTAGCATATAAAGAGAATAACCGAGTGTCTGGGACATAACAAACAACGTGATAATAAATAAAGCTATTATAGCTATTATCATTATTGTGAATACCATCAGGAAAAGAAACCATTCTCACTGATGAGTAGGACATCAAGTCCAATGTAACCTATTTATAGTTTGGAAAAGTCAAGTGAGAACTAAAGCTTGTGGTTGATTGAAAATGCTACATTGTGATAAACATTCTCCACATAGCTTTTCTTGTACCTTAACTAGCATTGATTGGTGTTATTTAAATAGCAGACTGTTCAGGATTCTGGTATGAAGGATTTACCGTTAATGAAATATATATATATTTATGTATGTATGTAGGTATGTATATAATTTTAAGGATGCAATCCGATGACCCTGGCTGGACTGTTCTCACCAGAAGCTTCTGTTGCATGCTAAGCACAGAATAAAGATGTAGATTGGAGCAAATTTATTTCAGATATTATAGTTTGGAGGCATAGCTCTGTATGGAGGCAGGGCATGAAAAATGCAACTTCAATTCCCCCCTTGAACCCATAGTAATTTATCTGGGAAACAACGTTGAGTTCCCTGAACTGTGAGGTAAGTAACTTGCTCCAAAGCAGCTTTAAATCTTCTTCAGGGAACAAGCAGCTGCTATGCTTTGTGCTCTTAGTACTGTGCTCCTTGGCTTGGAACTGTGAACATTACCCAGAATGCTTCAGTGAGACCATGATCGGAAATATAATGTGCCTAGGGGAAATTCCCTGGGGACGCGGGGATTCTGTGGAGGTGAGGGATGGAATTAAAAGTTGGCTACAAGGCTTTATTTAAGGGAAAATAGCCCACTCCAGACACGGGGGATGCACTGATTTGTAAAAACAGTATTATGTCTGCTGTTTTCATTGACGCTTTGTATAACTAGTCCCATCTGTTGCCGTGTGCCCTGGTCTAGGCACTGAAAACAATGTCAGTGGCCACAATGAACTTCTTCGCCCACAGAGCTGACGCTGTTTATGTCACACATACTGAGGATCCACGCCCCCTTTTATAGGAGATTCTGCATAAAGGGGAGGAGTGAACATGGTGTAGTTAAGTGTGTGGGGGCCATTTGATTTCTGATTACTGAGGTTGGGAGGGTTTCCTGGGGAAAGAGACTTTCATACGGAGTTCTGAAGAATGACAGGGGGCTGGAAGCTAACAATGGATGATGATCACAGTGTGTTTCTGTTGTAATGCCGAGGATAATGGGAATACAGGAACTCATAGTTTGCCAGCAAAGGCTGCTGGAGGAAGCCTCTTTCCGATCTAAACACTGGAGTGGTGATGGTCTCAGTTATGCCAGCAATTGTGGAGTTGGGAAGATGGGCAGATCTGAGAGCTTTTTAAAAAGCCTGGTAAAGATAGTGAGGGGAGGGTGAAATAAGAGTTGACTCTCGGATTTCTAGTGTGTCAATCTGCATGGGAGATGATGTCATGCACAAAGAGATGGATCTGGAGGATCAAACTCATGGAGAGAACTATTAGTTCAGTTTTGAACACAATATATTTATAGACTCTGTAGGATATCTGTAGAGGGATTCTCAGTGGGCAACTGAATGACGAACCTGGAGATCAGGAGAAAGTTTGGGACTGAAGCTATTTGCGTGCAGGCAGACAGATGATGGTGCATGATCCTGAAAATTCTGGCATTAGCTTGCACGGTAAAAGGATGAGCTGGAGGCAGGGGTGACCCATGCACATGGACAGAGAAGGAGAGAGGAAGAAGGTGCTCTAAGGAGGAAACAGTCAACATCAAATACAGACCGACGTCACCTAAACTGGAAACTGAAATGGATGCAATAATACCGAATGCAGCAATATTGAATGCCATTCAATACTAGGTGACCATCTGTCTGGACTGCTTGGTACTCTTCCAGTTTCTGTCTGTTTCATCATCATTATTCTTAATGTCTATCTTAGCCAGAGATACCAATCCTGCGTTGAAATACCATGGCCCAAAGTAACTTGGGGAGGAAAGGGCTTAAACATATCCTGACTCATAGTCCATTGAGGGAAACCAAGGCAGGAACTCAAGGAAAGCAGGAACCTGGAGGCAGGAGCTGATGCAGAGACCACGGAAGGGTGCTGTTTACTGCTTTGCTCCACATTGTTTACTCAACCTGTTTTCTTATAACACTTAGGACCACCAGGCCAGGAGTGCACTCCCAGCATGGGCTAGGACACGTAAATCAATTACTAATTAAGAAAGTTCTCAACTGGCTTGGCTATAGCTCAATCTGATGTGAGGAATTTCTCAATTGAGGTTCCCTCCTGTCAGATGACTTGAGCTAGTTGAAGCTGACATAAAGTAGCCAACACAGTGTCTGTCATTAGTGTCTACATTTAGATAACAGTTATACCCCCATCTTTGGTTGGTTGGTGAGAAATTGTTCAGCTGTGTGTCTAAGGCTGTGGCAAGGGCACAGATGAATGAGAAGAAGGAAGTACACAATGAGGAGGCAGCCTTTTGAAGTGGTGAGGTTATAGAAGGAATTGTAACATTGGGTGAATATCGAACTAGCTAGATTTGAAGTTTCCATTGGTCCCAGAAAAGTTCATAGTGCTATTTTCATTCACTATTGTGGGACTTTAAGATTAGTGAAAAATAAAACTGTTTCTTATTCACACATGATTTTACAGAGAAAATGCATTTAAAATGCTGTTTTACATTCTCACATATTTATATTATATTATTATATTAAAGAATATCAGTTACTCCAAGTGCTCTTTATCTCCCCCACCATGATGTAAACACCTGTAGACATCTAAGCAGGACACTCATTTTATCTTTTGAATGCTCTTGTGTAATGAAGCACTACCAATAATGATTAGGTGGGAAGTGAATATTTTGCCTCTTGCTATAAATACTGTTCACCTATGAAACAATGCACGCGAATTGTTATTGATTGTTTGGGAATTTCACATCATGCAATCCAATTCTTCTCACTTCCCAGTCCCCTCTGTATCCACCCGTCATTCCTGCAGTATGCCCCCCAAAGAGCCCCCTAAAAGAACTCCCCCTAATTAATCGAAAACAACACACACACACACACACACAAAACTACCTCTCTCCTCTGTCTTTTTTGCCTCTCCAACACTTCACTCATCCTAGTGGCAATGGGAGTTGCAGTGTGCCACACTTTGTACCCTTTTGTCCAATCAGCCCCTTCCGCAAACATTCATTGCACTGAGTCCTCGGTCTGGCACACCATCATCTTCACTGGACCCTCACTGAAACTCCTCTCAGATATCCTGTGCCCTGAGTCATGGGGACCCTGTGGTTATCATTCTTCAGGACCAGTCCCTCCATGTGCTCCAGCTTGTCATAGGTGCAGTGGGTGTTAGAGTGTGCCAACCCAAGGCTCAGGACATGTGTGGGTCTGAGTGGTAGCTGAGCTGGTCAGTCCAGGCCGCTAGGACTGACTCCCTCAGGCAAAGGGCAGAGCCAGCTCTCCTAGGTCCATACAAAGCATGGTTTTAAACATATACACACCTGTCCTTTGGTTTTGAGAACTTGAAGGATAACTCAGACAGATACCCGTGAGAGGTTAAGCATTAACACATGAAATAAAAAGACAAGGCAAATAACACAACTGATATTCTTTCCTTTTTCTGTTTACCATTCATATGGGGGAAAAAAAGGAAATAATCCTATGTGAAACAGTGTCTCAGGACAATAAGATAAGTTAGAAAATGGACAGGTTTCAGAGCCCAGATGGATGAGGTAGAGGGCAGATTGAGAGCATTGCATGCCTGTGGTTTCTTTGCTGGAGCAGAAGAAGTCAGAATAACAAATCCCACGTGAGACGGTAAACCTTTCTCAGGATGCCCTTGTTGAAGGTCAACCTTCCAGCCCCGAACCTGGCTGCCACAACACACCCCATTGTGGCAATAATTTTACCATTAATTAGGCACCTTGGAGTCAGGTTATAGTGTCCTTTAGTATTTTCTTAGTATTGTGAAGCTGTGAATGGCTGCCTTTAAAAGATGCGAGGAGCAGATTTCTCTGTGAGATACTTCTGTCTAAGAAACGAGGCTAATGGGAAACAATCAATTGTATGGCAGCCATGTCTGTCATATTTAGGCTGTGAACCATCCCATAAATCACGCTATAGCAACAACCACCACAACAAAATCTTTCATTAATAAAACAGTACTCTTGCTAACTTGACCACAGATAAGAGCATTATCTTAAGGAGTCATTCACTGCAACTAAAATATTTTGTGAATGTATTTCAAATATTTGCATAGTAAATATTTAAGTTGTTGATAATAAGGCCAAATGTCCTATCTAAAGGATTATATGTAGTTTAGTTACAGGATATGCACTCATTGGACTCACATTTTAATATACTGTTTTCTATCTAGGCTCCAATTCATTTGCATATATTTTCACTGCATCATCTCTCTCTTATTTCTCTTGTGTGCATTTGTTTTTCAGTAAGCAATGGCCTCAGTTTGGCCACCACCACATAGAGCCTGAATGTCCGGCTGTTTTCCTAGGACGGAAAGAAGACTCGCAGCGTATTTGTTTTGGGGGCAGTCTTGTAGAAGCGTCGAATGGGCCACGGATTCAGCACGCTCTCACGTGAATGGGACCAGTTTCTGTTCTTCCCAAACCTCAGAGCTTAAGCGCTTGGAAAGGAAATTCGGCCAAGATGACACATTTGCAGGCTGGGCTTAGTCCAGACACGATAGAGAAAGCCCGCCTGGAACTGAATGAAAACCCGGACGTTTTACACCAGGACATACAACAGGTCAGAGACATGATCATCACCAGGCCAGACATTGGGTTTTTACGTACAGATGATGCCTTCATCCTGCGTTTTCTTCGAGCCAGGAAGTTTCACCAAGCTGATGCCTTTAGACTCTTGGCCCAGTACTTTCAGTACCGCCAGCTAAACCTGGACATGTTTAAAAACTTCAAGGCAGACGATCCTGGCATCAAGAGGGCTTTGATTGATGGCTTCCCCGGAGTGCTGGAAAACCGCGACCACTATGGCAGGAAGATTCTGCTGCTGTTTGCTGCCAATTGGGATCAGAGTAGGTAAATGTAGATAGTGTCTTTACTTGGCTTTGTGTTGGCATAGCATCATCGCTGCATGCGGGGGTTGTATGGCTTCATAGGTCAAACTTCATTCCACATGCTGTCAAAGGAGTCATGCCACCCAAACACAATCCACAGGAGAATCACAGCCTGGGTTGTACTGGACTTTAGAAGTAAGTGTTGCACTCACCAGACTGGGACATTTATTTTAGTAAGTCGAAAGCTGATACTCCAGAAGGTCCATAAACTGTCCTTAGTGTTATCACATTTAGTAAACACAGTAGAAACAATCACTGGATTGTTTTCCACACATCAAATACTTTTTTGGATGCGCTGCGACTTTAATATCCTCTTCTGGGTGCCAGATTTTCCACCCAAATGGACTTCCTCTGTAAATGTCCTTTTTAGAGCCACCCACAGGCAGAGAATACCATCCACCTCTATATACATGTGCATCCCTCTATCCAGTCCCTCATACCAAAATATGGAATCTGTTTTCCCCCTAATATCCAATTTCTTCCCAAATCCCATCCCCCATTTTTTCTTTCAGAAAACATTCCCCACTGCCTCTATTGCTATTGCCTAAGTTTAAGTTCACATTATTGTATGAAAAATAATTGCAATAGAAATGTAAGAGGCTCAGTAGATAACCTTTTTTTTTTTTTTCGCTTACCACATTTGCTACCAGGTATTTGTATGATCTCATTGGAATAATAAATGTTATTGCCATCTTCTGTACTTCACACTTGACAGCACACAAATTTGAGAAGTTAAGGACCTGGATTCAATGTCACACAACTAGTGAAACCAGAATGGAAGTTGAGTCCTGGTCATGTGACTTGAGAGCCAGGAGTCTTAGCCCAGCTAAGTAATGTCACTGAATTTATGAGACCAGGGAGGATGGTACCTTGGACATATTCATCTCTTAGCCAAGCAGCACAGCAAACAGTCAATGTCAAATGGGGGAAAGTAAAGGATCGCATCTCTAAAACCTCAGCTGTGGGTGGAGCCTTCACAACATCAAGTATGAAAATTTTATGTCAATGGGAAGACACAGGCTTAACTAAAACAATATCAAAAACTTTTCCATTGCTATTTAAAGGAATAGCTAGACCATCTTTCCACTGCTTTATGCCACTGCTTTTTCTTAGAGTGACAGTAGCGCAGGAGGTCTTGACCATCGTTGACTGTTTCTTGGTTGGTAAATCAAGGCAGAACCGTCTCTGAAAAAGTACACAGATGTTTCAAGACAATAAGCCTAGACTTCAGTCAGTTCTGCACCTGGAACAATAATACTGGTGTGGAATAGATACCATGTTTGTCAAGTTCATGTTACAGTTAATGATGAGCCTTGCTTTCCATTGTTCCATTGATGAGAAGCTCAGCTGGATTTTTATATTCATTTATCTGCATCATTCAATCAACATGCACGTAGAGGTGTGACTTTGAGGCACTTAGGACAATGGTGAAACATGTGATCTTCATCAATAAAGACCAATGTGTAGTTCATGGTCCATAAATGATGCAGCATATAAACAGCTAGCCCCCATCCACTACCCAATAATTCCTCCTGAGGCACATGAGCCATAGACACTGCATCTGAACTGAAGGAAGAGTCCTACTCCCAAAAATGGTACATTCGCATTTTGGATTTAGAAACTGTAAGGTTTCAATGATTCTGGGGAGTAATCATGCTGGTATCACTGTGCTAAATTGTCAGATTTCCGGGACTTCCGTTTGCAAGGGCAGACTGTGTATTGAGCACCACTGAGCTGCAATGGTCACATAAAGAAGTGAGCCACAGTAAAATGCTTTATTTCATTTAAGATTTGGTCTCTATATATCCCCAGATATGTTGTGAAGAAGTAAGAGGTAACAAGTCTCTGAGGAAATAATGAAAATGTTTATGATTATTATAACCTTGGACAAGTTACTTCCTTCTCTGTTCCTTGGCTTCCTCATGTGTAAAATAAGCTTCTAGCTCTAATGACTCATGAATGAGATGCCCATTCAGCCTCATCCGATGGATGGGAAGGGATTATCAAATTCACTTTATAGGCTCCCCATTCTCTCAACTTTTAGAAAACAATCTTTCTCTTCTCCTCCTTCTCATAGTCCCATGCCCTAATTTTCTTCTAACTATGCAATTTGCTTTTCACAAATGACATTGGTAAGTTTATCCACTTGACATGAAATTAGATGCAAGCAAACCAGTTTGAATGTGTATATGACCATTTATTTCATTTTAAGGTCCTGACCTTAGACAAGCAGCTCCTCTGAGACTTGTTGCTCTCCTGGAAGAGTAAGAGTGATGTCTTTGTGTGGAGTGGGACAGAGAAATGCCATGTTCAAGTTCCTTGTTTGGCATACAATAAGCATTCAATAGACACTGCACTGAATTGTGGTATTATCTCTAATGTTTTAAAAAATCTGACTTCAAAAGTAATGGCAGACAGAGGGCAAATAATTTAGAACTGGATTCAGGAGGACAATATTTCAAAGCTGTAGTGGGATTATGCATGGTACTTACCCACCCACTTGTCTAAAGCCCCAGCTAGCTTTCCCTAGATGCTTGTCACACAGATCCTGCCCAGATGAGGTTCAAGAGGCAAGGGAAATCCTCACAGCTTTTCAAAGTGATTGCTTCTCTCTGGGGGCTTGGATGATCAGGTAGTGACTCGAATGTCTCATGTGAAAGGTTTACTAAGATTAAGGTGATTATTAATATTTATTTAAATGATGTAAGTAGCATCCATCTTGACCCGATACATGCATACATGTGACAGGCTGGGAGCAGGTCACAGCAAAGGCATGACATCACTTGAGCTACCAGAATTCAAGCTGTTCTTGCTCAGAGGTGGAAGCTCTAACAGCAGAAATCTGTCTGGCTTTTGTGTTTTCTGAGGCTGCCAGGCTGGGCTGAATGAGTTAAATAATAAGTACCATGTGTTCATTCATAAAGTGGGCATGGTCAGCCTTTCTAGCACTGGCAGAATTGTTATTCCAGTGTCGCAGCTCAATGTATGTATGTGTGGGTATATACAGAACATTCTGCCAGTATTGTCTCTCATAGCTGAAGGTGCAGAAATCAGCAAGAAGGTTGAAAACTAGCCTAAAACATTATTTCTTCAGGGCAGATGAGGTGCTATAATAGGAGCAGTTAAATGTGGATAGTTCACTAAGGAGTCTGGAGAATAGCTTGATTAATGCCTCCAAACATGGGGACAACAAGAAGGACAAACATCCAAAGGGCTTTTTCACCCTGCAACATGGGATAAGAGACAAAGGTCTAGACTGAAGATTTGCAAGCCCCAGGCATGGCTTCCGACACAGAGCTGGGACAAAGCTCAGAAAGTAGACAGAACATTTAACAAGGCACCAAAAACCTCAGTAATTTACTTAAATCAACCATACTCTAATGAAATGTTGTAATACTCACAATTAAAATTAAAATGTATAGTTAATAAAATCAACCTTTCAAAAGGCAAGCACTTTTTTTTTTGTCCTGGTTTGTTCTGATTTGAGTCAGCATGGCTGTGCTCTGGCAAGCCAGACATCTTTGGGAAGGAACATTCATTGAGTTGGGTCCTGTTATATTCAGGTCCATACTACAACACACACACACACACACACACACACACACACACACAGAGAGAGAGAGAGAGAGAGAGAGAGAGAGAGAGAGAGAGAGAGAGAGAGAGAGAGAGAGAGATACAGCTGCAAGTACCTTGCATTTCCCAAGCATTTCCATGGATGTTTTCTCACTTATTGCTAAGAGATTTGGGGAGACACAGCATCACTAATTTGCAGATGGCAAAGAAAGAGGTTTGGGAGAAGATGGTGTTGTCATCTTCAGGGAGCAACTTGACTCACCCATGGGAAAGTTGAGGCTCATGGCTTCCATTTCAAGTTAATCCCAAAGACACCTGGCATCACTTGCTCAGCCTTGGCATCATTAGATGTCTGGAAAATACCACTGGAGCTTGTACAACTCTCTCAGAGAGAGAGAGAGAGAGAGAGAGAGAGAGAGAGAGAGAGAGAGAGAGAGAGAGAGAGAGAGAGAAACTGTCAAGTACAAAACAGGAGATTTGAGGTCTGAGTGGAGTGACTCTCAAAAGTACCAGTGTATGTATGGTAAGGCTGCTTGGTTGTTAATGTACAGGATCATGTTGATCACTGAAATGTTTAGTGTTTCCTTTCTCAGGCATTGTACAAGCAAAAAGAACCCTGTATTTCCAAAGCCATCAAGGAAGCTGGATAAAGACTTTGTAGAAACATCTGCTATCCATGTTGTAGTAGTCAGCTTTCTTGTGACAAGACATCTGAGGTAATCCATGTAGAAAGAAAGGTTTGTTTGGTCTCAGACTTTGCAAAGTTTCAGTCTGTTCCTGGCCTGATGGCAAAAGATGGAAGTTGCTTACTTCATGGCAGATGAGAAGCAGAAAGGGAGAGAAAAGAGGTTTGGGGACAAAATATGCCTTTCAATGCCATACCCCATTGGCTTTCTTCCCCAAGTAGGCCCCGCCTCTCAGGGTTGCCACCACCCAACAGCCTATTATGTGTGAATCCATGAGTCAGTCCATTCACAAAGGCTCTTCCTCCATTTTCCAGAAGCCTCATATCTGATGCATTATGGACTAAGCCTTCAGTGCATGAACTCTGGGGGACATTTGAAATTTAAACCGTAATAAGTATCAATAATTAGCCCCTTTGTTTTTTTTTTTTTTTTTTTTTTTTTTTTTGTATCATTACCCCTTGGTACTTGTGGGGGACCAGTTTGAGAACTTTCTATGGACATTGAAATCCACAGATGCTCAGGTACCTTTCATAAAATGGCATACTATTTACAATACAACTATTTACAGTACAATACACCCAGCCTCCTAAATACCTTAAGTCATCTCTACATTGCTTAAAATAATATACCATAGGTATTATGTCATTAATTATTTACTGCTTTAGGGAGTAATGGCTAGAAGTCCGTTTGTGTTCAGTACTGA